TGTGTGTGTGTCTCTGTGTGTGTGTCTGTGTGTGTGCGTCTCTGTGTGTGTGTGTGTCTGTGTCTGTGTGTGTGTGTACAGTGTCTGTGTGTCTGTGTGTCTGTGTGTGTGTGTGTGTGTGTGTACAGTGTCTGTGTGTGTGTCTGTGTGTGTGTGTCTGTGTGTGTGTGTACAGTGTCTGTGTGTGTGTGTGTGTCTGTGTGTGTGTGCGTCTCTGTGTGTGTGTGTGTGTGTCTCTGTGTGAGTGCAGCCCCAGCTGAACTCCAAACCAAGCCCGGCCTTACCTGCAGTCATCTCCCCCGGTGCTCACCACATACTTGTCGTCGTGGGAGAAGCGGATGTTGGTGACGTGCGCCGAGTGCCCAAAGTACCGCTTGTGTTTGGCCTGTGGGCAGGAACAGCAGCTCAGAGGGACACAGACAGACCAGGAGGAGCCACAGGAGCTCAGGAGGGGACACGGACAGACTGGGCCCCACAGCAACCCCAGGTCCATGGCCCAGTCCATGCCACCCCCCGGGCTCTCCTGGGAGCTGCCGGCCATGGACCGTGTGGTTTGGGTGCTGGAAAACCCAGTGCTGAGGAATTTGGGAAAAACAAAAGCTGGAGAGGTGAAAATCAAGCGGCCACTCACAAATTTTTCTGTGCAGGGGAAGTCAAAGAGCTTCACAAGCCCGAAGTCATCCCCCGTGACGATGTTGAGCCCGGCGTGGGTCACACAGGCACAGTTCACGTCTGCCTTGTCTGCGTTGCGGGGCCAGATCCCAAGGACTTCATCTCCCAGGATGCTCCAAAAACAGGGCAAAATAAAAGCATTAGACCACGGGATTGACTTGCTGCTGCTCTTCCACACGATGGGGAGGCAACACAGCCCAGTAATGAGGAATTGCTGCCTTTGAAATACGTTTTTTCCTCTAAATCACTGCCCTGAACACGATCTCATCATGGAGACCATCACAAGAGCCCAGGAGTTTTGTGTGACCCTTTAACCACCTCTATCCATAAATGCTGAGGTTTATCTCCTGTGAAACCACTGGCACTGTTCTACACAAGCACCTGGTGCAACCTGGGTCTCCTCCATCCCTTATGGATTTGTGTGTGCCCTCCCCCAGGCATTCCTGACCCAGTGTTTCCTTGGCCAGTGAGGGAGGCCAGTTCCTTCCTCAGGGCAGGAATTCTTGTTTGGAGGGCAACTGGTTCTCAAAAATAGCTGTTCTGCCCTTGCTTCCAGTTCCTCTGGAACTGTTGCTATTTACCCACCCAGTCAGTGCCAGAGGTGCCTGCCCCCCTCCCACCAGCTGTCAGGAGCCCTCACAAACAGGGAATTTGGGGCACATTTTTATGCCTGGCAGCAGAGCAGCCGGAGGAGGAGGAGTCTCATTTCCCTTCTAAACCCGCCTGGTTCTCACCCCCTGTCAGATCCTGCAGGATCCCATGTCCCACTTCCTGCAGGGGAGCAGAGCCACAGCTCTGCACTCCTGGCTGGAGGCTCCTGGGTGGATCCCTGTCAGGGAATGTATTTTAATGTCCCCACAACCCCTCAGCACACCCAGGACACACTTCCAGGCCTCCTGTGCTGCCAGCGTTAGCTGGGGTGGGACAAGGCAGTGCCAGCCCGGGGACAGGGGAAGGGAAGCTGCAGTGGCCTGGGCCATGGGAGGGGTCCAGGACAGGAGCCCTGTGGCTCTGGGACAGCCCTGGTGTAATTGTGCAGACCCCAGACAGCCCCAGGGGTGTGCCAGAGCCCACGGGAGATGTCCCTGGCTGTACCTGGTCCACGTGGCCCAGGTGATCTTCTCTATGGC